ATCTCCTGGAAGTATGTAGGTATGGCAGAGTTTTTAATATAAATATTTGAACTTGACAACATTAAACTTTAATGAGGGTTCATAAAGGATCCAATTGCACACAATGTCTGTGTTTTGAGGATTCAAGAATGGAGAGCCAAGCGCTACAAGGGTCAATGTTCATTATGTTTGGAGACCCCCAGCTGCCAAGTTCCCTCTAACCTATAACACATAAAATACAGTCCTTCGGGGCATAATTCAGTGGTGCAAATGACAGGAGTGAAGTAGTCTCAGCTGAGCTGGCAGCCGCAATGTGAGAGTTCGATTCATGCCTCTTAAAAAGTATGAAATTTGACTCTTTATGGATACCAGTATGACAGCTCTTGTATCCTAGCCTATTAAGTCACATCTCGCGATTTACCTCATCCACAATACTCTATAGACGGGGCGGTGGGGGACCCTCAAGATTGGGGTTCAACCTTTTTTATAACACATAAAATACAAATTAATCTTTGAAAAGTACAGTGTCATTAATTCATATTAAATAATACAAAACACTTGTTAAAAACGTTTTTTTGTTAAAAGATACATTCCACATCGATTAAAAATAAAAATTTTAACCATCATACAAGAATTTATACTACTCTTCGTAAAAATGTTAACCTTTTAAGATGAAATTCCAATTATTAATATCATATCAGAGTCCATAATGCTTAAATGAGTCATTTGATCCATCTAGAAGCTCAACCGAACCATCAGATTTGAAAAGCAGATAAATCTCAAATTGATTAGATATAAAAATATTAATCAACTTATAAAAGTTTATGGTACTCTGTTAAAAATGAAAATATTATCAACTTCATTTGTAAGATACTTGACGAGATAGGTGATTGGAATTTGCCTATGATTGAGGAGGTTTTTTTTTACCTTGGACACTGAATGCACTAACCTGACACACTTACCTGGAACTATGACAAATGAGGCACATTTACATGGAAGAGTGACTATCAGGTCAATAGTGTTCTCGTGAGATGGTGGAAGAGGGCGTGGAAGCTTAGCCTTCCTCGAAAAATTTGAATTTTAATCTACCAATTTGTTAGATTAGGATGTGATCCGAATTCTATTCAGAAGATAATTGAAAATTCTAATTAAAATCAACTTAAGAAAATTCTATTTGAACTACTATTTAGAAATTCTATTCAAAGTCTATTTCTCAAATTTTAGTTGAAATTCTATTTGGAAGCTCAATTGTGAGTTTGAGATTTGTGTTGAACTTGAAGATTTCAAGATACGAACAATAAAATTTTTTGGCAGCAATTGAGACAAAAGAACAAGTTTTTCCCGAACCTAGATGCCCTAGCACTGTAGTTGCCACAAGCTAACAGCTCGAGCGGCACGCGGCACTATCTAGTCACTCACTTGGCACTCTAGGGCCGCTATTATCGAGGCCCAAATCCGTTTCGTGTTTTACACACGTTTTTAGCAACTTTTTCCTTTTAAAATATCAAGAGTAGGGTTATGGACATCCCCCATTTGCTTCCTTTATATATTCAACTCTTCTCTACAAGGCTGATAGGTGGTTTAACCTCATTACAAGTTAGACATTATTTGTAAAATCATCGTTGTATTATTTCTCCATATTTTATTGAAATCTCTTTACTCTACAAATTATATTGTTTTTGAGCTTTTGTGATCAATTACTTCATATTGTGCCTATAATCTTGTATTTTTTTTCAACAAATTGGTATCAGAGTAATCTAATATCATCTTCATTTTTACAATGCTATACCGACTTATAATAATCAGGCACGCAGAAAAATGGGGTGTAACAAGCGTTGCAGTGTGATCGAATTGAAACAACTACCTATGTGATTCTATACTGCCCTTCTACAAAATTGGTGTGGAAAATCTTTGGATTTTGTACCTGAATGAGTTATCTACATAAGATGTATTACTAGTGTTTTCCACACTTGCATCCAGGCTGAGCTTGAGAGTTTCTGCTAGATGGCATGATTACTCTGGGTGACCGCAACAAATTCATCCATGGAAGACCTTAACAACCAGAAATTCTATCACGGCTAAGTCCTAGTTGCTGTTACATGGTTAATTTATTCGCGCTTACAGCCATCCACACACCCCTCAACCACTAGCCTCATCGACTGTTTTTTGTAGTGCACCCATACTTATGGATCTGAAACTTAACACAGATGGTGCTATTAGATTTGGTGAGGGACTGTTAGGGTTGGTGAGGTCGTTGGAGACCATATTGGTTATATTGTAGCCACCTAATTTGAGCTCATTGACGGGGTTTTGCTCGGAGGATGTAGAAGCACTTTTGTTAAGGGAATGTTTAAGATTTACACATATTTGTGATTGCATCTTGCAGCAGTTTATTAAACATTATTGTTGCTTGTCTTAGAGAACTATGTTGGAATGTTTCGTGTATGGAGTGACAAACAACACCGGGAAATCTTTCAAATTACCTTTAAAATTCTGTAGAAACTTCTGCAAAGTAACGACAGGAAATGGACTCCAAATAAATCCTCAAAAATGTGCAGTATAACAGTAATAATATCAAAGTCAAGGCAAGTGTTGAATACTTTGTCCTTAAGTCGAATTTGCCCCGCAACACTGCCTACGATTTATAGCAATCAACTCCAAAAATACAACGACTATCTTCTTGTGTGAGTAGCACTACAACATATAAGAAACGGCGAACTAGAATTTGGTTTACGAACTCTGGTATATAAAGTGAAGAAAACCAGAATTTATGTAATAAGAAAGCAAGAATTTGGTTGAGAAATGAGAGAAAATGAATGCTATATAATTTCATATCATTGGTGTGAAGATTGAGATGTCCCTATGGTCTTATCTATAGATGTTGAAGGGTTGTGGACGAAGTAGTGCGAGCTGAAACACATCAGTCATTTGTTTCCAAATTTTCGCCCGCTCGAGCGGCACTTTCAGTGAGCCCGTCGCTCGCTCTTCGCTCGACTGACGACTGTCGCTCCAGCGACAGTGTCATCCGATTTTCCACATTTTTTCCTTCCAATTTTGGACTACAATTTCTTATTCATCCGAAATTGATTTTGAGATGCTACTTATACACGAAAATCAAAATTCTCTTTCGGGGGCAACTCCCCGAGGGGCGATCCCCGTTCTTTCGGGGGCTTTGCCCCCAAGCCCCATTTCAAAGCGACAAAGAACAAATAAATTGGTTACGTTTTGGCCAAAATTGACATGAAGTTACACTTTCCAATGCTTGGTTTTCAATTCTTAACCAATCTTTCTCGTGTTTTAATTCGGTCGATTTATTTCTAGAAATGGAAATAAAGTGAACCATATGTGTGCCTCTTTGCGACGATGGTGCAACGAAATCAAGAGCAAGATAATTAACACATCAAAAGCTTATTATTCTTAAATTTGAGAAAAATATGGAGAATTTTATTTTAGAATGTTTTTATTTAGCCCCTGTTTGGTAGGAATTAAGGTCCTTAAATTTAAGTCGAATTTAACAATTAATTTTAACAACATATTTCATGAGACTCACAATTTTTCAACTATACATTTCATCAATTTTTATCAAAATTTATTAAAAATTTGATTTTAATCGCCACCAAATTGGAGGTTAATATTCAATTCAAAACAACCAAATAATAACTAACTTTAACTCTAAATCAAAAGGAAAATAAAAACCTTAACTTACTCTTGTAATCAAAAGACAAACTTTGATAAACTAATCTAAATGAATCTCACCCTAATCTAAATATAAGAGGAGATTTGACAAAATGTTAGAATTCGACCAAAAAATTAACAAATTTGCATGAAAATATCTGATAGCAACAGTGATGATCATGAGACTGGATTGGTTGTATCTCCACTTTTACCTTGCATGCTATGTGAAATGATTTACTATAATAAAAGTAATACTCTGACGTAGAAAAAAATAACTAGTATAGTGAAAATTTATAAAAATCACAATATTGTTACAAAGTAACAAGCTGTTGCTAGTTATTTCCAAAGTTTCCAAACAACAATTTGTTAACATGGACAAATTTGCTAATTTGCGTAACTATTGGTATCAAATTCATAGCAAGTCTAAATATAATGGTTCGAAGTGAAAATTCCTCCTCAAAAATTGCAAGTGCAAAGCGTACCTCTCCCGGCCAGACTCGCCTAATTCACCTAATCGTCTAACACCCTCCACACCACCTCCATTTATTTGAATCTCCCCGTCTTCCCAGAAATCAAACGAAGATCAACATTGAAACTGCAGATTGTGCTTTGTAAATCAATGGCTTTGTGCACTCCAACTCTCCTCGTACCGCAATTTTCTATCCCNTTAAAAACTTGATTTTAATCGCCACCAAATTGGAGGTTAATATTCAATTCAAAACAACCAAATAATAACTAACTTTAACTCTAAATCAAAAGGAAAATAAAAACCTTAACTTACTCTTGTAATCAAAAGACAAACTTTGATAAACTAATCTAAATGAATCTCACCCTAATCTAAATATAAGAGGAGATTTGACACTTAAATGTTAGAATTCGACCAAAAAAATTAACAAATCTGCATGAAAATATCTGATAGCAACAGTGATGAGCTTTTATCTTGCATGCTATGTGAAATGATTTACTGTAATAAAAGTAATACTCTAACATAGAAAAAAATAACTAGTATAGTGAAAATTTATAAAAATCACAATATTGTTACAAAGTAACAAGCTGTTGCTAGTTATTTCCAAAGTTTCCATACAACAATTTGTTAACATGGACAAATTTGCTAATTTGCGTAACTATTGGGATCAAATTCATAGCAAGTCTAAATATAATGGTTCAAAGTGAAAATTACTCCTCAAAAATTGCAAGTGCAAAGCGTACCTCTCCCGGCCAGACTCGCCTAATTCACCTAATCGTCTAACACCCCGCACACCACCTCCATTTATTTGAATCTCCTCGTCTTCCCATAAATCAAACGAAGATCAACATTGAAACTGCAGATTCTGCTTTGTGAATCAATGGCTTTGTGCACTCCATCTGTCCTCGTACCGCAATTTTCTATCCCCAAAATTCCAGATTTTCATTATCTTCACCTCGCCAAATCTACTCAAAGAAGAAGAGGAACAAATAAAATCGGAGCTATAAATTTTTCCATGGCCACTGCAAATGCAGCTAAATATGACCGTGATGATAAACCCACAAAGTTGGTCACTTTCTTGGGTAAAGGTGGCTCTGGAAAAACCACTGCTGCTATTTTTGCAGCTCAGGTATGCATTCAATACACTTCGTCTCACACCGTCCTTTATTTAATTTTAGTTAGATTTTCAATTTCACTGGTTAAACTTTTTGTTGATTATTTGCTTGGATTGGATGAATTGTAGCGTTTTATGTGGTTGATGACATAGTAATTTATTGTTATTCATTTTGAACTGCTTACAAAAGTTAAATTTTTGTTTGTTTTTACATGTAGAAGATCAGCAGCCTCATTGCTCAATTATAAAATTTTTCATAATAGTGATGATTAAAACACCAAAAGTAACAGGCAAAAAGGCAATCATTGAAACAGAAAACTAGTGGAGAACTACTGGGTCTGCAGCGACCAAATGGAAAAAATCCAATTCAGTTTTTTTTATCAGAATTGACTGAAAGGATACTCAGAGTGGGAAATGAATGGTAGAGTGAAATGGGAATATGAAGAATCATCACCTACTAAGAGGCTCTAGAATTTTCTATGTTTTGCAGCCTCTCCTCCTTTGTTGTATAATTTATTTTGGTTTCCTTCTACAAGAAATGCCAAGAAGCTCCGCACCGCCATAGCTGGAAATTTCTAGATTTATTAATTAATAATTTACTTACATTTATCTAGAACGGATTAAGTCGGTTGCTAACCGACATTGAGGCCTATACATATAAGCTCCCTGTCATTGTATGGATGAATGAGAAAGACAGTAAGAAAGTGAGAAAGATGATGATTGGGACACTGTTTGGCTCTTTTGAATCTCGAAAGAAAACAATTTCTTTTATGTAGGAAACATGCCTTTTTTTTATGATCTGGCTTGTCAATTTTAAATTAATAAATTATAAAAAAAAATATTTTTATTTTTAAGTGCTTTGTTTTCATTGAAAAACAAATATTGATTATATAAAAAAAATTAATTGCTTTGTCTTGGCACTTCCCTTAGTATCATATATGAACTCTATAAAATTTCCTTTACCTACATCGAACCCATAATTCGCTACCACAATAGTGTGCATTCCCCGTCCCCTTATCAACACAATTACCCCCATCTAGGGACTATGTCAACAAAAATCGTTACCCTTCTAGACTAGTTACCTTAAGATGTGAGATTTTGATGATTGGACTCGTCTACCATCATTTCTAGATTGGCTTGATTATCTTAAAAAGTTTGTTGCCTTTCACAACTTGACTGACTCTCTTCGAGTTTGTCATGCTAATATCTCATTGATTGGTTCTACTAGGAGGTATTGGAATCATTTATATGTAATCATCTAGGTCAATGCCTTGTCGTTTTGTGGGATAAGATGAAATGAAAATTAATAAATATGCCTCTGGTTATTATCGAACTCAATTATTAAATCAATTCTTTTTGCACTTTGAAAAGGCTTGTCCACTATTAGTGAGTATCTAGTCCACTTTGCAGAGAATATATTGCACAATTATTATATTTATGAATCTCCCTACATCATATCGCCTAGGTTTTTTAGTGATTTGAATCCTGAAATTTTGCTTGACAACATTTCTGCGCCCCAATCCTTAAATGAAGCTTATCGATAGGCCAACCTTTGGTACATATCTTTTCAAAATTCATCAATCATGTAAAAAATAGGCATACTACTCTAGTCACACCAGTCACTTTTTAGTCCTCTTTCTTATAAAGAAAATGAGATTTTTGCTATTGAACATATTGACTATTCTGATGGCGAGGATAAGAGTTTTGAGACTTGTCTTATATCCCCTCTCACACCTTCTTGGACATAATTGACTATGACACAGTTGAGGAATTACGTATAGCGTTGCCACCTTTGCTAAATATTCCATGTCTTAAACCTCATGCCAAAAGTGTTATTGCCTACTCCTTTGTGTGACTTTAACATTGATATTATTGTGCCTTTTTCTCAATTGTAAGATACTCCCCGGGTTGCCACGTTTTCCAAAGCCATTGTTCAATTTAATAATTTTGCTATCGACATTCAATTGTTACTTACTAATTTTCATCATATTTTGTTAGCGCCAACCTTTATTGTCCCATTTCCTAATTTTCATGCTGAGATAAAACATATAATTTATTTCAATAATGAGAGTTATGAGCTTGACGCCGCAATTTAGGCACAAATGCATTCATGGTGATTCTTATGCTTTATTATGTGTTTCTTTGACCCAGTTTCATAAACCTGTTAAGAATTGTTTTTGGATCACTCACTTGAATGAAAGTTATTTTTTCAATATATAGAAAAAAAATTTCCATACCGTGGCCCATTCGATCCTTCGATGTTTCAATAATTTGTTTTTGTAGGTCAGACTACAACGCTAGTTTCGTATGCTCTTCATTATGCAAAATCAATTGAAGATTTTAAGGATGAGTTGCGTAAGTTTTTTATTTTTGGAGTTTGCTATCGATGCTTGATTAAAAGAAAAAAGCATCCTCCTTGGTGAGATCATATTATTGAGGATGATTTGAAAATTCTGTTGTCACCATGTGGTCGATTGTATTATTTGGTTAGTAAGAAAGGTTGTCCTCCTTGGAGTGTGAAGTTCCAATCTACCTCGCCAGAGTCAATTTCTCTTAATCAGGGGAAATAATAGAAATAGAGATAAAGATAGAGACAGAATAAAAATAGATGTTAGATATGATTTTAAAAACAGAGTTTAATTCATATTATGATTGTTTATATTAGATTAACTTAGATTTAATATTTTGATAAAGTTACCTTTAATTAGAAGTTCTTTTAATTTTAGATTAGCTGCTCTATAGATAGAGGACTTATTCATTGTAATATTCAACCATGAATATTTATGATAAATTCATTTTCTTCTTTGCCCTTAATTCTTCTCTTTTTACCCTTTTTTTTTTCATTTTTTGTTTGTTAACAAATTACTTCACTCTTGCGTCATATAAACTCCTTGTCATTGTATGGATGACTGAGAGAGACGGTGAGAAAGAGTGATAACTGTGTAGTATAGCTTTATTAGAGGAGTGAAAGTGCTGTAGATTAGTGAGGTGGCCTGCAATTTTCTTTGGTGTGAGCTGCAGTAACAATAAATTTTATACCTTTTATTAAAATTATTTTCTCTGTGTCTCAACAGAATATAGGGGTTATTTCTTGAACAAAACATAATTTAGGTCCCAGAGAGTAATTTGAATGATTTTCAAAATTATGGTGAGGTGCATAATCTCTCATAAATTTGAATTTTAAAGTAATGGTGGATTACATCACTTAGAGAAGGCCATCCCCATGCAAAAAAAGTGGGTCTCCTCAGGGGAGGAAGTATAAAAAAACAGGGGTGAAAGATTTTATAACGTTTTAGTTTATTAGTTTAGCACATTATCACTCGAACATGTGAAGCATGATTGTTCTTTTTGTTTTCAGCTATATACAGTTTTCATATTCGTGTACTAGAAATTAAGCCCTTGTTTGACAACCATTATTTCCAACTCTTTAATTCCCATACTCATTTTCAACCATTTTCAACTACACATTTACACAATAAAATATTTTGCACATAAACTCGAAACTTTTCTCTACTTTTTAACCACACATTTTTCTCAAAATAATGGCCATGAGCAGGTGTTAAATTTCTTTCTTGGTTTATATTTTAATGAGTATGGTATCCTCATTGTTGTTATTTTTTTGGTTCTCAGCATTACGCTATGACAGGGCTCAAGACATGTTTGGCCATACATTCTCAAGATCCTGCAGCTGAATTTCTTCTGAACTGTAAGATTGGACCATCTGTTGTCAAACTCAACAACAACCTCTCAGCCGTTAGATTGGAAACCACAAGTGTGCGCTTACCTCTTCTTCCCTTTGTTTTATGCACGTTAGAATAGGTGACCAGCTGAGCCTAGTTTGACTTGTGATGAACATGTTTATTTTCAACAGATGCTCCTTGAACCTCTTAAACGGCTGAAGCAAGCTGATGCCCATCTGAACATGACCCAAGGTGTTTTGGAAGGGGTGGGTATGTAACAATGTTTTGAATTCTCAAATTTCACTTTTCCTTTGTAATATTCTCATGCATCTCTCTTCAAAATATAGTAGGTGGTAGGGGAAGAGCTTGGTGTACTTCCTGGCATGGATTCTATATTTTCAGTTTTGGAACTTGAGCGACTTGTAGGATTCTTGGTCAATGCCGTCCAGAGGAATGGCGAGAGAGATAAGTTTGACGTAGTTGTATATGATGGTATAAGTACCGAAGAAACATTACGTATGATAGGTGCAACCAGTAAAGCTAGGTTAGTGGTTTGTTACTCTCCCACTCGCACCTCTCCTCTCTTTCCCTTCACTTGCTTATACCCGTCATCATTGTTCATTGCGTAGATTATACTTGAAATATATGAGGTCACTGGCTGAAAAGACTGATTTCGGGAGGGTAACTGGTCCATCTATCTTGAGACTTGTTGACAAATTCTTGAGTCTGAGTGGCAAGAGTACAAATCTTAATGGGAGAATGAGTTCAGAAATATGGGATTATCTAGAGCAAGCATTAGAGGTAAATAATGTTCGTAGTTTGAATTTTCTAGCCATCAGTGTATTTCTTACTGCTAAAAGCTTCCTTTCATTTGTGCTACAGAAAGGATCTTCTGTGTTTGCAGAACCTCAGAGATTTGGCTGCTATATTGTGATGGATCCAACCAACCTGTTATCTCTAAATTCTGCAATGCGCTACTGGGGATGCGCAATTCAAGCTGGTGCACAAATTTCCGGTGCATTTGGCATCTCATCACCAAATGGTCCTGAGGCACTAGCCGAGATTGGAAAAAACTTTTCACCTTTGCCTTGTGTTTTCTTTCCATATCTCGAAGTGGTTGAGGATCTAAACTGGAATGAGATCATGGCGAGCATACCTAGTAAAAATGCACGAGATCTTCTATCATCGTCCACCAGCGAGAGCTCTCCATCGGTCAAATTTGATCCATCCAATAAATCCATGACGCTCTTCATGCCAGGTTTTGATAAGTCAGAAATCAAGCTTTACCAAGTATGTCATCATTTTATTTATACTTTTGTACTTGACTAATGAAGTTTCTTAGTGAGGGATATAATAAAAAAAGATATGAAAATCATGAGAATCGATTCATGCAGCGATCTGTAGCATACATGAAATATGTGCACGAATGAAGCATTCTTGAACGGAGCTTGATAAAAGTGTCGTTTGGGCTTACTGGATTCAATTTCTCGTATTCATATAGCATGGCTAACAAATTAAAATGATCCATTGTTTGTCAATTGTGAAACTTGCAGTTTAGAGGTGGGTCGGAGTTGCTGGTTGAAGCAGGTGATCAAAGGCGTGTCATTCAACTGCCATCAAAAATCCAAGGGAAGGTAGGTGGAGCTAAGTTTATAGACAGGAGTCTTATAATCACAATGCGATAGAGAACACATTTTTCTCTCTTTCTTGCTGAGTGGGGAATCCATCTTTCTGTTAAACAAGATAAGCACTCAATAAAATAATCTTTTCCCTGAATCTCAATTGCTACGTGCAAATTTTTATTGGCGTGCATTGTTCCTATCTTCCTATATTTTGCTTGGATGGTCGATGAACATCCACATCCCATGCGAGCGTTAAGAGGGAAAAAAAATGGAATTGATCAAAAGATTTCTCAGAACAAACAAAAATCAGCACTGGAAAAGAAAAGGAGTTACCTATCCTATTTCAAACAACAATCATTTTTGGCCTTAACATAAAATATCAGAACAAAAATGATAAATAAATTCACCTAACCAGTGTGACAATAGAGTTGAAAAACCTCTATATCTGTGTAATTTTTTAACGGGGCTGGACTCAAACTTCTTGATTAAAGCATTTTGGTACAAGCTTAAATTACAGCTCTCTTAATTATTCTGATCTCTGTATGAGTATGCATTTTTCCTTAAATGAACTGTTGATTCTGCCAGTTCCTGTATACATTGTTTCTACCATTTCACACAGAGAAGGATGAAATAATGTGTAAGTATAAACTAGACATCGGTAAGAACGAACGGAAAAATGAAAAAAAAATGTTCATTCTTCTAGTTTATTCTCTTCTCCTGTTTTCGCGTGAGCTCGACTTCTTAGTTCTTCAAAAGCCTTCATGCTTTCTGCATCAAAGCCTCCCGCAAACTGAAACAAGTTTGAATTTAATTCTCATTAGTACGCTTATTATCATTAAATTTAAGGTCGACTACGTAAATTACTTTTCTCCGCACCTGATGAACACGGAAAGCAAATCGGACACCTTGAAGAATCAAAAACTCTCTGTTGGGTTCCTTCTCTGGTTCATTCGTGGCATCAAGCTCTGATGCGACACGTTTCATGTATTTTCGTGCCAATTGTACTGATGAAAGCTTGATCTGCAAATTGATGGCCGAGTTGCGCATAGACAGTTATTCCCATGCAGTTAAAAGCAAGAAATATTACAAAAGAGATGAACAAGTTCTGCATTTTCATTAGTCATTACATATTCCAAAACCTAATATCACAAAGTCAACATCACATAGGAACGCAGTGACGCGTTTTAAGCTTCAAACGTACCTTGCCAACTACTCCCGAATCAAGTAACCAATCGACGGGGATGCCAAATTCCTTATACCGTGAAACAGCCATGTCGCGTGTGCGCAACAGTGCATACACACTGTTCTCCACCCTGGAAATTGTGAAATTTTAAGTATTTCATTTAGGGTTTCAATAACTAGATAAATTTCAGGACGATCACATTGTTCAAATTTGTATAGCAGCAAATGAACAACTCTCATAAGAGCACTTTAAACTGTCATTTCAAGTGACCATGTGCTTTATAATCTCTCCAGACTACTTAATCGCATACTTTTCGAACTTCAACCCCTGGCTATAGGCGGCATAGGCTGGTGCCTAAGGCCTCGTATAGGTGAGGGTCCCCATAATATTAATGCTTTTAATATTTATATGTATAGATAAAACTCATAAATTAAAGAATTATTCAGCCGACCCCCCAATAGGGGTCTGCCATGTGTACATTATGGATCCCATTATGGATCCCATAATGTACACATAGCACCTCTCTAAATTAAATATAGGTGTCATATAAAGTAGGCTTTAGGTCCCCAAAATCTCAAGGCCAGCCCTCCATTATGGATCCCATAATGTACACATAGCACCTCTCTATATTAAATATAGGCGTCATATAAAGTAGGCTTTATGTCCCCATAATCTCAAGGCCAGCCCTGTTAATCTAACTGAGATAACTTTGCAAAAGACACTTACTTCTCAAGCAACTTATACATCTTCTTCAAAGCAGCCTCACAAGGAAGATTCGGATCATCAACGAACAAGGTCACTAGCTTCTCTAATTTCATCAGGTCCTGGTATTCAAATGCTGCCTCTCTTAATGCATCTGCTTTACTTTCAGGCCAATCGAAGTGTTTAAGGACAGCTCGTTCATCAACCTTGAAGAGAAGATTAAGTAAGAAAATTGCTTAACAGGCTAGAAGCAGTTAAGAATACTCATCTGGTTATATTTTAGCCTCTAGTAAATAGTGACTGCACTAATTTATGTATTACTAATTTGAACAATAGAACAAAACACATACTAAGAAGGAGAGTTCCTCATCAAGCCAGTTCACGAAGGCCAGCAAATCTTCTATGTTGGTAAAGGAAGCTGCCCGGACTTCAGTAGCCAACGACTGAACAAAATCACCTTGAGTCTCCACATCAGCTTTAACCTAGTTCAAGATTCCGAATTTTTCTTTCATTCTCAAAACTGAATAACTAGCAATACAAACAGCGTATAAGAAATAAAGCAGTTTGACTTACAGCTAAGAGGAATGATGATCTGTTCTCTATCTCCCCAATCATGTTACTCCTTGCATCTGAGGGGCTTGATGTTGAAGAAACCAAAGATGGTGTATCCTTCTTTGCCTCGCGTTTCATCAATGTCTGGTAGAATTCAACTAGTTCAGGAGCTCTGTGAACTTTGTCACCACTTCCGGTCAATCTTGAGAGACTTCTTGGTGGAGGTGGTGGGCGTGGAGGTCCACCACCAGGTGGTGGCGGGGCACCTGGTGGAGGAGGTGGTGGTGGTGGCATACTTGGTGCTCCATTTGAAAAGTGTGTATTTTTATCAGCAGGAGCACCTCCTGACGGTTTAGGAGGTGCTCGAGGGACCCTAGGAGGTCGCTTCTCAATATGTGCAAGTTTCATTTTGCTCACTGCTGTAGAATCAACTTTGTTATCATTCGACTGGTCACCAGAGGCAACTGGTTTTTCTTTTATTAGAGCAAGTTTTGGAGGCAAAGTCACAGAATTATCTTTATCCACCTTAGAAGGGTCACCAAACCTTACTGCTCTTGCTTGTTGAGCTTTTTCCTTGATTTGCTTCTCTCTTTCTAAAGCCAGCTTATGCCTATCTTTATATGCGGGATACTTCTCCTCTAGAACTCCTTCAACTGATTTGGACATTACGTGGAAAGAGGCTGCAACAGAATTGAGTGAATCAGGAGAAGAATCTTGAACTCGACTAGGCTGTTGTTTTGGAGTTTCAGGGGAATTAAGGTCATCCTGTTCTCCCATCCCAAAACTAGTGATAGCCATGCTATCACCTGCATTTCTTAGCATCAGGGCTTCCAGAGGACCTCTAGGTCTATAATTCATGCTATTCATGCTGGGGGATCCTCCCCCGAGAGATCTTGCAGGGGAAGAAAGTGCACTCGAATCATCTTTACTTTTTCCCCATTTCTTAAGCTTTTGGATCAAACTAGGCTTTTTACTGAGACTACTGAATCTGCTTGTGGAACTATCAATAGACATATTATCAAAATCCTCACTTCCAGGAGAGGATGGATGGGAGAAGTTGCTTTCAATATCTGTGTCTCCTTGTCCACGTTCTGATCCTGCATACTCTAACATCAGTTGTTTAGCCTTCTCTTGTGATCTTGGGCTCAAACTTTTATTGAGATCTCGAGCTGACATTTTTCCAGATGGTGTTTGGTAGTTCCGAAGCTCAAATCTTAAGCATGCATTGACCCAGCGAAGATAAACTAACTCTTCAACTTCAGTGAATCTGTTCATCTGAAGTCCTTCCACCTGTTTAACGAGGTCCTCGTTTGCATGTCGTAAGTTATTCACCTCTTCTCTTACTTTGCCAACCATGTCACTCTGCAGTAACAAAATAATGAGGGCATGTCAGGAATTATTCTCATTAACTGATCGGAGTTTGAATTAATTCCAGTTTATCTACTTCTATCCATGTGGGGAGGAAAATAAAAGGTCGGTACTCAGCTACCACATTTATTTTGTGTACAGCGGGCACCGGGGTCTATATTATTTTTTTCAATGCGGGTTATCTGTATCGGTTATGTACTAATTGACAGCATTATCAATCTGGTTAGTAGTTACCTCCTTACACCATACAAAAGATAAATCACTGCAACTCGAGGAAAGATTCCTTAAAACTAGAAGTATATTCGTAAAGGATTGATTCAAAAAGTCAACAGGGTTGTACTGCTGTAAAATCAAACCCTAATTTGATGCATCAAATAACCATTGAAATCAGAAAAGTAACAAAACACAACATATAACATATGCAAGGAGGCATTGGGAAGTTATACCTCTGTCATATTGGAAAGGGCATTTACTCTGGCTTCAGTAGTATCTAATTTTACTGTTAACTCTCTCTTTTCGTGCTGGAGCTCTTTGTTCTTCCTCTTAAGTTCCATAACCTCCACCTCTAACTCCTTCAGAGCTTTAAGCTTCTTCCCTACTTCAGCATCTTTCATAACTGCTTCCTCTTCCTTGGCTTGAAGTCCACTGACTTGTTGCTTAAGTAATAAAAGCTGGCCCTTCGTCTGGTTTGACTCGAGCTGAATTTGCCTTTGTTGTTCCTTTAATTTCTTTCTTGCCACCTCAAGTTCTTTCCTAGAAACGGCTCCCAAAGACACCTCCTCTTGAAGCTTTTTTCTCTCGGCTTGCAATGAATTTATCGTAATGTTCAGCATCTCAATCTCCACTGTCTTAATTTTAAGCTGCTTCTGTAATTCAGCAATATTTGATTCTTGCTCCATCAATCCATAGTATTCAAGCAATTCTTCCTCAAGCTTCACCTCTCTCTCTTCTAACTCTTTTACTAAGTTGCGTAGTCTTTCCAGTTCAGTTGCATTATTTGCCATCTCACTTTCGTACACTTTATTTTTCTCTTCTCTGGAATTGGCTTCGGTATCATATTTGTCCGCAGGCAGTGGAAAGTCAATTTCTCCGGACAAAAGATTTTCAAATTCTGGGAAAAGCTCATCTTCAATGTCAAATTGATTACTTAGGGCAGGATTTACTATTCCATTAATTAATTTAACTTCTTCTTTCTCCTCTTCCTCGGCCTGCAATTCATGATCAAAGGAGAAATAGAATTGAAGGAATTAATGGATCATTAAAATCTACTAACACAAAATTAAAGTTCGAAGGAAAAGTGAAGGAATTATTCTAGGGTCTTTCTCAATACTTACAACCACTTCTTTGAGGCCTTCATCAGAATAAGAAAACTGCTCTTTGTTATCCCCTTCATTTGTAGATGCTTCATCATTTTCTGAATTACAAAATAACCGAGCAATTATTTAAAACTAAAATCCAGTTGAGAAAGCAATGCAAAGTTTAATCTTTTCTAATTACTCGAGAGGCAACCTTTATCCATAAATTAGAAAATCCATTAAACAACTTTATCATTAAAGTATTCATATTCAAGGTTATATCTCATGCACATAAAAGTAACTTTTTCCTTTTTTCTTGATAAATTCGGTACAAACAAGAACTGGTGATAGATAAACACAACTCAAAGCATAAAGTACCTGAAGGTTTAATTAAAGAGGTGGATGACCTCGAGCTCCTGGTATTAGCCTGCTGAACTGCATAGGCTGCAATAGAAGCAGCAACCAAGAAGCTTAACCTGACTATCATGTACCTATTTTTGATAGAAGATACTGAACTTTCCGATCATCTACTGAGACAGACAGAGTCTCAAATAGCCCTCCAAGCATTTCTCTTTAACCCAAAGCTCATATTTCAGACCATGAATCGAATTAAATGCAAGAGGACCGAGAATACTAAGTTTTTTAAGACCTTCTCGGTTTAGTCCCTGAAGAAATATCAAGTTAGGAAGCTCTTCACTGCTCAATTTAGGAAAATTGTATTAATTATCCCAAGAATAAACATCTCAACATCACTAGCATTATCTTCTTATCAGGTATATAGACCATTCGCAGAAAAAACTTGCTTGTATTACAAAGTTTCTATTAAATACAGCTCCATCACAACTGTCATATAAGAGCTACAGGAGCCACCAATTCTTGTGGGTCTGACTTGTAAAATTCTTTACGCAGAAAAATGTACAGTTAAAGATGCAGATATACAGAATGGAGAAAACTCTAGTAACAGTAACTTCAAATAAAAAATAGTTCCATATGAATTTTCTGAAAAAAAAAATAAAAATAAATCTCAAGTTTCATTTAGATCATGACAGTTTTATTATGAGTAAAGATGAGGTAGGAAAACGTGTGTTTTCTTTAATACCACATCCATCTATGGTTGGATAGAGTTTCCTTTCGATTTATCCCTTGCCCATTTGTTATCCTACTAAATGGCTGCCTTTCGTCCACGCAAATCCTCCAATAAATGAAACTTATTTTCTTAGTTTGACAAAAACTTACTAGTCAAATCTACCCCAAGTCTTGAACTTTGCTGGACCATTTCAATAGCATCATGTGTAATTCCTGTGTGTAAATGGGGCAACTTACATGAACAAAATGAGTCCAAGGGACAAGTAAAAAAATAGCATTACAATTTTTGGGTAGCACCAGAATTAGAGGAAAGTAGTTGGTAGGAAAAAAAGGTCAAGTTGACATTTTATGCCTGGCTTTACTTAAATAGATAATGTTAGCCACAAGGTAGATTAGCACAAACTTTATGCATTGTACCATATGATTTGACCTATTTGTCCAAATAGTGGCCTTCTCATTATTGTCCGTTCTATTAAAACTTTGGGTTTATTCAACTCAACATAAACAGTTTTTTTCCCTCTTTGCTCATATGTGGCAAAAAGATGAAGCTGTAAAGTCTGGCTCCTCGCAGAAGAGCTCAGATATAAATTTTGTATTTATTTTTTTTTGCAATCAGAACTTTTTATATTTTTCAAGAAAAAGTTATTCAAGATTATTTCCCAATCTCTTGCCTGTCAAGGATTAAGCTTATTTCCTTTTAACCGAGCACACTAATATAAACTAAATCAAAATTACAAAAAGCAAACAAATATTTTTTAGTGGTTCACTTCAATGTAGGAGCTATCTGATTATGTCCACCAAGTTTTCACTTCATAGTCTATATTTGAGAAGAGAGTCGAAGTTTTCTTACGCAGAATGGCCGCCCCCTAGAATCCATCACATTTATGGACTACTCGTTATTTGGGTTGACCTGCGGTCAAGAGGATAGGTGACCACTATGATTAGGCTACCAACATCTAACCTTACGAACTCTACTACACCCACCCTCAGGACATACACAAATAATTTGACCGACCAGATTCGTGGGTGCATAAATTCCAATTGATGAAATATACTGAAAACTAGAAATCGGTCAAATACCTAGAAATGTGCACAAGCAAATCTTTTACAAAGTGAGCAGACAAACAGAGGTGCAAGCTGAATATAATGTGGACTATACCCGTCAACCGTGAGTAATTCGGTCGAGGAATTTGGTACGTGTCGATTAAATTGAACAAAACAAAATAAAATTACATACAAGAGGGGAAACAGAGAATGCCTTATTCTCAACATGGGTCCCGCAGTTCAGGTCCCCCCCCCAAGAAAGCCAAAGTATTATCCTCAGAATTAGTGGTTCTGTCTTTAGAGCACTAAACACCAGGCAGATTTTACAGTCTTGACACCACTACCAAATTTACTATTCAAGAAAAGGATAGAATTGGAAAAAATTACGAATTTTACTAAAGAAACTTGATTATAATCTGATAAAATAAACTTCAGGTCCCAACTGTGCTATAGTCTGGACTCTGGAGTGTGGAACACTTTCTTGTTGGCTGGCTCCGCTCTTTCTAATCAGTCCCACCCAAAAAAAATTTGATAATGAAGATTTAATTTGCATCCAGTTTTTTAGCTTTTCAAAGCATGCCAAGTTCAACACTGCAGCATTTTTGTGTTTATACCATAACATGTAAATAATAGGGAAATAAAAAGAAAACTAAAACTAAAACTAAAACTCATCAAAAAACAGTCCAAGAGAGGAAAAATAACAAATGACCCGGAAAATTTAAACAACAGACAAATTGAACGGTACATGTACCTGGAGGAGGAAGGGTAAAAATTGACAGCCTTTTAGGAGCAGGGTTGGTCACAATTTGAAATGGGCTTGAGAAAAATGTCAAAACTCAAAGAATTTTGGACATAAAACGTTGTAATTGTATTTCGCAGGAAATATACACCAAGGTGGAAAACCTAGGAATAGTGGTGGAAAAAAAAAAAAAAATCAAGCTATTGGTTGTGGAAGAAATAAAATATTTATGTTTAAAAAATATTAGAAGTATGATTATTTTTATATGATTATATCGTTGAAAGGGTCATATTAGTAAATAGAAATAATATTTAGCACGTGTTTGGTACCGATTAAAATTTAAATCAAAATTAATAATTAATTTCAACTACATATTTTATAAGTCTCACAACTTTTTAATCAAACATTTCATCAATTTTTATTAAAATCTACTAAAAATTTGATTTTAATCCCCATTAAACAGGAGTTTAAAATTATGACATCATAAATAAAAATTGTGATGACAATATAACCACTCTTCTATAAATCATATGCAAACACACTTTAGAAGAACTAGCATAGGAGAGACAACCATGGGAAAAATTAGTGCAAACCATATGTATATTGAATTAAGCTAATGGTACAATGAATTTATACAACTAATTTAACAATGTGTAAGGTGTAAAGATTTTGGTCATTGATTTGAAAAACATTTTTTTCAAATCAATGATTAGGATTCTTGCAAACTCATACATTGTCAAACTAGTTGTACATGTAGCATGATTGTTGTATATTTTAGTAACTATTAACGTAATGATAATTGTATAGACTTGTTAATTTACAAAATTATAGCAAAAAGAAATATAGAAATGTGAAGAAGGCCGAGGCAAATGTTTGATCTTTTTCCTTAAAGACGATATTGCACTAAATAGACGTTTATGATTTTGACACTCGTCTCTCAAAATATAATAATTACTTTCCAAAATAATAGCATTCTAAATTACGAGAACAGGAAACCATACTGTGTGTTGTAATGGATGTGATCCATATCAAATTGTCTAAAAGTCTTTCCAACCCAAGCCTCAAACTTGGACTATATGAAATTGTCTAAAGTCTCTTCATTTTCCAACATGGGATGGACACTTACATTTTCCCACCATTTATCCAATTCTACTTTCGAATACATTCCACATTCAAGTTGATATGATCCGGGATAGGCAGTCACTTGATTGAGTTTTGGAGTCCAAATTGAAGAAGTTGACAAGCCAAAGTTCAAGTTTCGTGAAGGACTCAAGAGCCAAATCGAGGTGGATTCAAGGTTTGGAAGATGTTTGGATGTTATGGCGGCGATGCTACAGACATTGTAATTGATATGAGCTGGGATAGGCTACCACTTGGTCGAGTTTTGGAATCCAAATTGAAGAAATAGACAAGCCAAAGTTCAAGTTTCGTGAAAGGCTCGGGAGCTGAAAGGAGTTGGATTCAAGATTTGGAAGATATTTGGAAAGAAAACGAGTAGAGTGGATGAAAACGGGCATAACTTTCAGCTCGGTTGTTAAATTTTCGCCCACAAGTACATTCCAAAAATGTCACGAAATTCTGCACGAAACTGCGTGGGCTCATGGTACTTTTGGGCTTGCGATTCGCGAATTTTCCTTGTTAGTCTAGGATTCTATTTTATTTCCAATTTTGAGAATATTCTATGACCTAATTACGTTTTATTAGGGTTTCTATTATTAGTATAAATATAAGATTTATTTCATTGTAAAATTGAGAACATTTTTAACATTATGAATTAAGCTTGTGTTTGACACTCATTTTGGAGAAAGAATTTGAATTGAAAGAGTGATTAATGAAAGAATGTGTGGTTAAAAAGTAAGGAGAATTTTTAGGTTTATGTGTAATATTATTTTATTGATTTTTGTGTGGTTGAAATGAAGAAAGAGAAAAAAATTGAGAAAGAGAATGAGAAAAAATAGATGTCAAACAAAGACTAAATGAGATTTTTCTCTTTTTGTTCTTGATTGATCATGTACCGAACTTATCAAATATTGTTATATTTGTGGCGTTCAACTCTTAAAATTTATCAAAGGATTAGACACCCTTTGTGGCATTCGAAAATCGAGGTTAGTTGGTTTTATAATCAAAAGGTCGTTCAAATTTTGTTTTTGTTTGGTTGTTTGGTTCAATAATTTACGCGTCAAGATTCTACAGTCTGCAACCTGAATTTGGGCTTTCTTCACGTTTTCAATTAATTTCGTGATTCTCACGCTGATCTCGTACCCAGGTTCGAGTCATTTGTTATCAGAGATAGGGCTTCAGATTTAGGTTCTATAATTTTTGTTCTTTTGAGTCTTTGTTTTTGTTTTTCGTGTCCGTCGTAAATTTTGAGTTTTTAATCTAAAAAATTCTAAAAAGAAACAGTCAAAATTGTTTTTGGAGCTAATCTAGCATCCAAATCAACTTTTGTTTGTTTCGTTGAAATCGTAGTCAATTTTCGAGTTTACAAAAAAAAAAGGTTCATTGGTATTGTTCACGTCATCACTATTTAAAAAAAAAAAAAATTTACTTGATTTATTTGGGAAGTTTATACTATCATATTATCTATCCAAAATCTTTTTATATTCATTCCAATCCAAAAATTGAAGAACCACTTTCTTGAATT